GGCAAAACCAAAAAAAAAAAAAAAAAAAAAAAAACAGATTGCACTGCCATCAAAAGCCATGTAAAGCTTGCAAACCTTGTAAAACCCAGCTTCATATAAACCCCCAGCCATGGCCTTTGACAACATCCATCACTATTCTAAACGTTACGCTCCTTTAAAGAGCGAGAGACAGAGAAGCTACCTCATCTTCTCCTCCTTTAGGCCTCTAAGTTTACACGATTGAGAATGTATTTGGCACAGGCCAAGAACTCTGGCTAACATTAACGCGGCTGTTCTGACGTCAAGTCACAAGCCTGTGAGAGTCAAAAGAATTTGTTTACTATCGAACACTCACTAAGGCTATAACTCTTGCAGTAATTCATTGATTTACAGCATACAGGGTATAGATTTCCTAGATTTGTGGACTGAGACACTCGGTCTTGTTGGAGGTAAATTTATATCGGACGCGAAGGGAAAAGAAAACCCGAAACATCACAGTAGATCAAAAACAGATGTAATAACCTAAACCAAGTGACTTGTTTTCTGGAGTCTGTCAGCCAGTTGATGTAAATGCTGCTATTCTTTCTCCACATGATAAGACTTTGACAGAATTAATCATTGCACAACAGCGGTGATTTCAAAGGCAGGCCAAATTCTCAAAGCTGGTTTTTATTTCCTCTGGCGATCAGTGGCGCTCCACCACCTCGGTACAGCCAATGACGTTTGTCAGAGTGAAGAAGCGGCGCCGATAAAGGCGAGACATGCTTTACCTTTGCGCGCCCTCTCTCCCAGCCTCATCACATGAGTTATTGTTTGTGCAAGTGAGCCAGGTACACATAATGTCATCAGCCCTTCCTGCTCCAGCCCTTCCTCCCTCCTCTGACACACACACAAGGATATTAGTCTCTCCGTTGGTCTCTATGGTGAAGGAGTGAGGGCGGCATGCGTGCAGTCTAGCCATGAGGCAGGAAGTAAGATTCATCTGTGTATGATTACATCTGTCGATAATGATGCGTACATTTATATGATTGGTCAGTCAGGTACAGTTGTTTCTAGGTATAGGGTATGATTATCATGGACAAAAATCCAACACATTTCTAAACGGAACAATAAGAGCTCTACACACTTCTAGCGAGAATAGTAGGATGATGAATGGCTATGAAAAAAATATCATGATAGGAAGCTCTAAAACTGTTATAATATTACATTCGTGAAATTGCATGTTTATAATTTATTCGATATGTGTTGTCTAGGTCCAGCATTCCTCTTGAAATATGCTACAAGAAACAACAGCTAAATGTCTTAAAGAACAGTAAATAATTTAATTCTTGTACTGGTGCTCTTATGCCTACACTCTACAGTTTCTGTCAAACAGCCTCATTTTTTCAATCATTTAGTAAATTCGTGTGAAATAATTTCATAGACCAATCAGTTGTAAATGACCACATTCGCAGCATAGCTAATTTGCAATTATGTTACAAAACTCCATACAAGGCAAAGCTCACAGAGAGCTGAAAATGACTCTTAAGCACGTGTGCTAAATCTTCCAATAATGAAGCTCAGCCACTGCAGTGCATCAGCTACCGTAGACACACACTAACCCTTTCTCCTTTTATAGGGCACCAATACTTTTGTCCTAATTGATTGGCTAGTCTTATTTGTCTTAAGTTATGGAATTGGTTTGGATTGCTTAATTCACGTCATTTCACAAAATATTCATTAAATTTGTTTGTGTAATTTCAACAAATAAGACATTTAAACTTGACAGTGTAATTCATAAATAAAATCTCAGTAACTCATGGCTAATTATATGATTTGAAGCCAATCCATCTAGATTAATTAGTTAAACAGGTTTTCTTAGAGCAGGGAGATGTGTCACAATCTTTGTCCATGATAATCACACACATTGCAGATGAAGTGGATAGAGATTAGTTGAAAACGCTGAAACATTTCCTTTAACCAATAATAATAATAATAGGCTAATTTTAAACATAGGTCTTTCTCCATGAAGAACTATTATTATAGAACCAAAGCGTGTGTGTGTGTATGTGTGTGTGTGTGCTGTTCTGTCTTCTCTGAGCTGAAACTCAAACTGATTCAGGGCTGTCAGACTCCACTGAAATGGCTAATTGTCAGAGGCCATTAGCAGTGCATCAGTCAGGCAGCAGCGCCTGGTACTTACTGTTAGCTGCGCTCCCAGTTTCCTGTTGGCAGTCAATAATCAGGAAACTGCTGTGTCATCTTACATTTGAAGCGCACCACCATATGGCTGCAGGATGTTCTCATTAACAACAACAGGGAAAATACATTAACCATAATCTCAGCAGGGTTAACCTAACATTCTCACTATTTATAAATCACACAGATACAGAGAGACAGTTATCATGAATGGCCTTGTATGAACTGACAGTATATCAATAAATAATCATATAAATGGTGCCAGCACATTAACAATGACAGGAACGAAAACATTCTTAATTATAGTGTGTGTATTAAAATCATTTATTTTAAAATTAAAACAAACCCTATTCACTGAAGGCCTGTTAACACCAGGCAAGATATTTACATTGCATATTACATGTTTAGTGACACCTACAAATGACAAAATGATGTCTAAGTGGTGAAAGAGTGCGTGGCATGAACTAAATCTTCCAATAATGCAGCTCAGCCATTGCAGAGCATCAGCTACCACAGACACACACTAAACCCTTTCACAGGGTGTCATCACTTTTATTCTAATTGATTGTCTTATTTGTCTTAATTTACTTATGGATTGGTTGTAAATTTCATAAATACAAAATTTTCATTACATTTGTGCATGTAATAGAAATAAATAAGCGATTTAAACTTAAAAGCACAATCTGTGTATAAAATTGCATTACCTCATCAATATGATTTAAAGGCATAAACTCTTATACATGGTGCAAGCATATTCAAAATATCAGACTTCCAGTGCGTCAAAAGTTTACACACAGTTGGCTGTCTCTTTAAACAGGCTAGAAGATTCCAGAAATTGATGTAATGACTTTTAGAAGCTTCTGATTGGCCAATTGTCATAAATAGGGGTTAATCAGGAGTGCACCTCTGGCTGTATTTAAGAGTCAGTGCCTTTTTGCCCTTGATGCCATGGGAAAATCCAAGCATTGGATTGGAAGCATCCTCCTTAGGAGCATTTTCCAAACAACTGAAGATACCATGAGTGTCTATAAAAACAACTGCATGCAAATATAACAATCTCGGGACCATACAGTGACTACAACCTTCAGGAAGAGGTACAAATGAACTCCCAAGGATGAATGAAGTTTGGTCTGAAAGGTTCAACTGAACCCTAAGACAACAACAAAGGGATTGGTAAAGGAGTTCAGGTACCAAAGCATGTACATCCAACATTAAGAGAGTCGTACATCTCCATGGCGTGAAAGGCTGTTGTGCAGGGAAGTAGCCCATATTCTAAAATTGGCATAAAAGAGCCAGCATGAAGTTTGCATGTGATCACCAGCCTTTTGGAGAAGTGTTATCTGGACAAATGAAACCAAAATTGCTATTGTGCAAAATTGTATGGCGGAAGAAAAGAGTGAGGCTTTTAATCCAAAGAACACCATCGCACATGTGAAGCATGGGGGTGGCAGCATCATGTTGTAGGGGTGTTTTGCTGGAAAAGGGAGGAATGTGAATTATATAGAAATACTGAAGCAACACCTCAAGACATCAGTCAGAAAGTTAAAACTTGGTCGCAACTGGGTCATGAGGATCCTTAGCATACCTTCAAAGCTTACAAAATGGCTTAAAGACAACAAAGGGGAAGTATTGAAGTAGCCATCACAAAGCGCTGACTGAATCCCATTGAAAATTTGTTACACCACTTACTGCCCAGCTACCTCAGTTGGTAGAGCATGGGACTCGTGATCTCAGAGTTGTAGGTTTGAGCCCCATGCAGGGTGCCAACCCCAGCCACTGGGGTACACAGGCTAGTGCACTCCCAGTGTTGGTCCCAAGCCCGGGTAATTGGGGAGGATTCTGTCAGGAAGGGCATCCGGTGCAAAAACTGTGCCAAGTCAATATGCAGATAATGGAAGGTGATCTGCTATGGCAACCCCTACGGGGGCAACTGAAAGAACAACAACTTCTGTCAGGAAGAATGGGCAAAAAGTTATTTTGTGAAGCTTGTGGAAGGCTACCCCAAGCATTTGAGGTGAAAAAGCCAGTTTAAGGAACATATGGCCATATTCTTTCATGATATACACTGTTTTCCTTCCCCAACATGGGAAGTTTGCAAATTTGTAACAATTTGCATAATGTGGTTGTTATGAAAGGTTATGGTTATATAAAAGGTGAGGTTAATGTTTATGTCTTTGTCCTCAAACCAATCCTACGACATTCTTGTTCCACTTGCTTCAATTTCTGCTGCCAAAACCAATCACTGTACTCCTGTTTGAGCAGGTGAAACTCCCCATGTTGCTGCTTTTTATAAGGTCTCGTATTGCCATGTTATTTTTCTTTTGCTTTGTTTGGGTGAATGCTGACAAATGTCAGGCTGGTAAATAAAAAAAATGGAGAAATCATTTGCAATTTTTGATTGGAATAGATCTGAATAATGGTGTTTTGAACATTATTATGACCTCCAATCAATGACAATTAAGAATAATAAAAAAAACCCCTCAAATTTATATCATGAGCCTCTGTGCTTTACCCTCTCCACAGTAATCCTGCTGTTGACAACCCTATGATGATCTCATACTGTGTCCAGGCTGGTGATTTCTCTTAGACAATGAGACCCTATGTGTGTAAGGATCAACTCCATCCTCTTCTCCTTTAAAGGTCCAGGCCACATCCTTCCTCTTCTTCTACTATGTTTCCCATACTCCTCCTCCTGCATCCTGTCTCAGCTGGGCCCTGAAATCAAGAGCCAAACATCCACCATCTGCTTTCCAGAGTGACACCATCCCCCTTCCACAAGCCCATTCACACACATCACACAGTGCCAGGAAGCTGCACCTGCTCGTGACTGATCGGCTTCCTGTACCACTGGCCAGCCTTGATTAGATCTCTGCTGTGTTCCTCACATGTATGAACATCTGATATACTATCTGATCCTTTGGGATCCTTAGAGAAGCAAAGATGACTTCATGCTCGGATGATTACTCAGGTCATCACTCATTTTCACACTTTTTTTTTTAAATTTTGTGGTCATCTTTAAAGGATGATGGCATTTTCTGAGGAGCATCCAGTGATCATACAGCCATCAGTGATTTGAAGTTTGGATTAAGAAGAAAGACGATGGCTGTTGGAACACAGCATGGTGAAGGACGCTGTAGCATGGAAAATCAGAACAGATTAATTTGGAATGTAAATTAGGAATAAATTCAATCTTAAACCAAACCATAAGTTGGGAATAGTTTATTTTAAATTAGCACTGTATGAAAGTTTGAGCATCATCCTCATAAACAGGGAATGTTACATCCTGATTGTACAGAGATTACATATTTAATTTATCTGTGGTTCAGTGTTACATATTTACTTCTGTTAAGGTGTGTCAGGTTAGTCATATTTCAAGAGTAGACTAGTGAACAAACACAAAAGGATTGTGCTTTGCAATAATGTGGTGACTCAAATTAGTCAGCATTTCTTATCTGTGGCTGTCTGAGAAAATCTGTCAGATGTATATATATATATATATATATATATATATATATATATATATATATATATATATATATATATATATATATATATATATAGGCTAATTATTATTTAGGCCATTTCTTCTAGGAACTAGTGCTAAAAAATGCTCAAAAAATAAAAGCACAACAGTTCAGTACTAAAGAGTACTTTTTCACTCTTAAAGTATGTGGAATAAGTGGAACAGAAAGGATTGTCTATAAAAAGCTAAGGGCTTCCACCAACCAGCCCTTCTAAGAAACCATGTTTCAAATATAAAGAAAAGTCTCTGGGTCACATGACTGTCACTGCTGTCCTCTGTGTGTGGTATGTGTGGTATATGTGGTATGTGTGTGTGTCTCGTGAGAGAAGATCCTCATATTGGTTATCTCTGTGCCCACGCGTGCATCTCTTCCTTTGAATGCTTCCTGCACGTGCCAAGCTAGCAAGGCTCACTGACCTCTGACCTCCATCTCGTCTCTAGAGAGACTCTTAGAGGGCGAGGATGGTGAAAGAAAGTAGCCTAAGCAAATGTGGGGATGCAGGACAGAAAATAATTGCACTTTCTGTTGTTTCTGAGTGGTCCAAAAAACAGGATGCTGTAAAACCTGGATGCTGTAAATTTGTTCCTAAGAGCTGCTGCTGTAATCATAAACACTGTTGTTTTGCTCATCCTTGGACTGTTATTCACAATCTGCTCATACTAAACATCTTTTTAACACACTTGGTACTGTTTGTCTTTAATCTTCTTCACCTGTATGGTGTAATGATTTATACTCCCAAAATCTTCTGGATTTTGGGAGTATAAATCATTATAGTATACATGTGTAGATGAGTAAAGACAAACAGTAGTAAGTGTGTTAAAAAGATGTTTCTTTGTCATATTGTCTTTCTTCCCTGCTATCTTTTTGGCTTGCTCATTAGATGTTCATATGGATTTAAATCTGCATCTGGTACATGGCAGTGTCTGTTGTTAAAAGTGCTATATAAATAAAATTGCACTGAACTGAAAAATAGGTGGCATGTTGTTGCATCTTTTTTAAATGCCTTATATTGCTCTAATTCAAAATTTACACATTATTTTTGCCAAATAATAATTATAACTGTGAAAAATCTGGGCATAATTAGGTGGCCTAAGGTGGCATTGGCCAGACGGTGACACTGAACCATGACAGTTTTGAGCATTTTAGGCTGATCTGTTTCCCAAGAGCATGCACAATATTCTCAGCTCTCAGTAAATTTATCAATTTGTCATTGCCAAGCCAAATTGGAGCACTCTGTGAAGAGCTGTCTACTTAAAAAGATGCAAAAACAAATTTCTAAATTTACGATTTAAAAAAAATTAAAACACTTGGACACATTTATTGAATCATGTGTTTTAGTGATCATGCTAAGAGCATGATCACTTGAGACTGACTCATCTCTCTTGGTTTGCCTCCTTCCTTCTCTTTCTCTCCCTCTTTTTCCCCTCTCACTATCTGTTCCATGGTTCAGTCTGATTAAAAAGGAAGGAGAGTCATGTTTACTCTCTTTCATGGAGCTTGCAAAACACACATCACCCCGATCCACTGTTTGCAGTCACAGGCCAGTGGATAATGACACTCCAAAATAACCAGCCATAATGAATATCGCATTACTGTTGTCACAAATGGCACACCGACAGTATTATTTGCACATAATAAGCATATAAACACACATCAGCATGTCGAAAACGGTTCTCGTTCAAATTTTTAAAAAAATCGAACAAACTGACGTTGCCGTTGCCAAGGCAGCATTACCAGGACACCAAACAATGCGACATCTAAATGTGTTAACAGGAAATGATTTCAGTATCTGTTTCCTTTATCACACCACAAATATCTCCCAAGCAACAAAGCATGCAGTGTACATCAAACGGAAATCACTGTGCAGCTGAAGCATGCGGATGAACAGAGCAAATACACAACCTGCTCCATTTCTGACTTAAAAAAAAACAAAACTAATCTAGTCATGATGGGCCCCGATGTCTTTCTTTCATGTTGGTTACCTAACTTCAAAAAGCTTTCGGCAAAATCTCTCCCACTTTACAACTACAAGGCTTCAGATCTTCTCGTAAAAATGTAACATGATGGTTGGTCGTTGTAAAAATGTCAATATGAGTGGTGATAGAAGAGAAAATGAGACTTGTACTTTGTAACATGGATGTTGTTATTCAGGGAGCGGTGTAGGTGTGTGAGGGCAGGTTGATAAGTGTGGAGCATGGTGTGTGTATGAGCATGTGTGAGGGTCAGGATCAGTGACCGATGTGGCTCTCAGTGGCTCTCAGGTCAAAGGCAGCAGGACTCGGCCTGGATGATTACACACACAGAGCAACATGGCTCAGGAAGCCATGAGCAAAACCTCACGATCCTATTAGCGCTTTCAGAGGCAGAGAGGAATGTGCACAAACACACACACACACACACACACACAAACACATAGTTGTCTTACTATCCTTGTGGGGACCTTCCCTTCACATACATACTAATGTAGGTAATTTATGCTATGCCTATTCCTTAATCTAACCTTAACCTCAGTAACCAAAAAGAAACCTATTGGCTGTAGTTTTTTTTTAATTAAAAGCTGCAGTGTTTGTAAGAAGAAAAAAAAAGGTTTCCTCATGGGGCTGAGCCAAAATGTCCCTACAAGGTCAACAGATACTTGGTCCCCATCAAGATATAAAACACACACCATGAGGGATGGGAGGTATGGCAAAAATTATACCACAATATGGCATATTATACCTTAACACTCAAAGACATCTTCATGATACACTACATACACTGTATGTATCCTGATATTTTGCCAGGGCTGCTATAAGTTCGGATATTTTTTTGTATTGTAAACTTATATGATTATGTGGAGCGTCCATCATACAAGTCCCTGTGAATGAGCTGTTACTATGGAAACAATAGTGTATTTAAACAAGGGCATTATTATCGATTCAAATTATACTGAATCTGGCACTACTGTCTGAACTTCTGACCAATCACATTCGAGAATTTAACAGCACTGTGGTATAACTGTGTATATTAAATGTATATCCACAGACTTCGACAACTGGCGTTAGACTGCTAGTATAAATGAGTTCGTAGTAAATATGTTGAAATTCTTATTTGCGGTAATCAAACATATGCTACAGATGTTGTGGATTGAGGTTAGGATAAAATAAAAAAATTAAAAAAAAACATTGGCGTGTTCCTTTAACAGAGAAACCCAACAGATACACACAGCCAAATGGAGACTCAGTGAGCAATAGCAACAT